GACAAAATTTAGAACAAATTGTGTTTTTTTATTTTTTTATTTGAATAGGGACAATGCACATTAATGAACATCAGTATAAAAACAAATGTAAATATGCTGGATTATAGCTACAAAGCTAGTTTTCATCCGTAGTCCCTATACGTCTATTCTATTAACATTTTTCTATGTGTAGAATGGGTCTGTTTTATGTATTGTCTTCTCCATTCAGAGGGCCCCCTGCCTGTCTTTGCCTAGGGCCCCAAATTTCCTAAATGCGCCCCTGCTTCCCTCTGCTAGTGAATGTAGTGAATCTTTCCTGGGATCATTGCTGCGTCCTGATTTCTTAGGGTGAATCCTGGTGACTCACCACTCTGATTGATTAATCTACAGCAAACCGCGAGGCCATATTTAAAATAAAAGCTTTTATATTAATAATCTGCTGAAGTATAAAGGCGTCAGTCTGCGGAGCTGCAGGCATTCAGGTGAGCGCTCTGTTCACAAGTTGTGGGCGCGTGCGTCTAATTTTGATCAGCCAATGCGCATCTCTCTGGTCGCACTGCATCAGCTGCCACGCGGACGTCACTGCCCCTCCTCCTTCTCCTCCTCCTCCTTCTCCTCCTTCTCCTCCCTCTCCTTCCATTGATCTCGCAGCGCTCTCCGCACCGCCGCCTCATCGCATTGCTCCTCTGCGCTTATCTGCATTTTTCGTCTTTTCTTTTTTTTTCTTTTCTCTTTTATTTTCTTCCAGGGTGGGGGCACCGGTGCATTTTTTGTAGGGACCAGAATAACTTCCCCCTTGCCTCCCCATCCCTGAGCTCCCTCCGTTAAACCATGGCCAGCACCGAGGATAAAGAGGCCAGCAAGGAGAAGGCGTCCAGCTGGAAGGACTCCTTCTACAACCCGAGGACCGGGGAGCTGCTGGGTCGGACGGCCAGCAGCTGGGGTGAGTAAAAGATGAAAGCATCCAGATCTGCTGCCCTCCTCCTCATCTCCTCCTCATCTCCTCCTCATCTCCTCCTCTGATCTCCTCTGATCTCCTTTAACCATCATGTCTTTGCATGGATCAGCTGCAGCCCACAGGAAGCTGTGCAGGAGGACCAGCAGGTCCACCTGATGCAGTCTGTTGCAGAACCAGACACAGAAGATTAGTTTTTATCTACAAGAAAAGATCTATAGTTTATAGAAGTGTATCTGCAGA